AGGCGAGGCTGCCATACACAGGTGCCACCATTAGTAGGCAAGGCAGGTAAGGTGTCTTGCCCAAGGACACAACGACTGAGTCAACTGGACGGGAATCGAACCGGTGACCTTCCAGTTCCAGGACGGTTCCCCTAACCACTCTACCAGCAGGAGTCATAAACCATAAACAATCTTCATACGCTGAGAACAACATCCCCACAGTGAAGCATGGCGGTGGCAGCATCATGTTGTGGCAAGTAGGGGTCTGCAGGTCATTGGGGGAGTTTCTTGTGTGGATGGAGTTTGTCCTAACCATGATGGGTGAAGTTCTTTGTGTGGGTGGAGTTAACCCTAAATGTGATTGGTGGAGTTGGTCTGTGGGGCGGAGTTTGGATAATAGATGGAGACTGGATGTGGGCGGAGCTATGATTGGTCGGATTGACGTGTAGGGCAATTCAAAAAAGTAATGGAGCTACTTTGTCATGAAAAGTAGACAGAAAGGATGCCTCTATCTACTATTAAACTATCTTAAAATTAAGAAAGAAAAACGTTCTGGTTGGCGTGTTTTTTTTGTAATACATTCTCAAAAATCAACAAGCTGGGTCTTCCAGTCTCCCTTATTTTTTCGCCACAAAAATATTTATTGTAAAAGTGACAGATGGTGTGGTTGAAGAGGTCAAGCTGCTCAGTGGAAGATGCTGACTTTAAGGTTAAAAAAACGTTTGGGGCTAAGAAGTTATCTACTGTCAAGGGACTTTGCAGAAATTTTTTTTGTAAGATTTCTGTATTTGCCTTTAAAACAAAAAGAAAACAACAGTACTGGTTATTAGTTTTACTCAAATCTTAAGGTGTTAGGATAGTGTGTAAAATGTAATAAAATGATTTGTAAATGTCAAACCATATTTTTTCACAATGGAATACAGTAAATATCTACGGAAGCGTATTGCTATCACGCAGGAAAAAAAAAATCCGAGCGCTATCACGTTATAACGTGATACGTATCTTGTTAAAACGTGATACGTATCTYGTTAAAACGTGATACGTATCTYGTTAAAACGTGATACGTATCTTGTTAAAACGTGATAGTATCTTGTTGAAACGTGATAGTATCTTGTTAAAACGTGATAGTATCTTGTTAAAACGTGATAAGTATTTGTTAAAACGTGATAGTTATCTTGTTAAAACGTGATAGTCATCTTGTTAAAATGTGATAGTTATCTTGTTAAAACGTGATAGTATCTTGTTAAAACGTGATAGTATCTTGTTAAAACGTGATAAGTATTTGTTAAAACGTGATAGT